CTGAAAACCGAACTTGGACATAAAGCGTTTCTGGGGGGGAAGTCTGGGAAGACACATTTTTGCAACCACTAGTCCTGCATCCACCTGTGCCCACGTCCGAAGCCAGCTGTGCTGTGTGGATTGGGGTGTATGGGCGAGCGATTCTGTTCGGAATCTGCTTGACAGGTTTGAAGAACGTCAACTGCTCATGAAGGAAATCCAGGCAGATGAATCTGTAATAGGCAGCTGGGAATCTTGAACAAGAATAAATCCCATTCTTTTTTTTCCCCTCTCCTATTTTATGCCCCTCAAAGAATTGGTGGATCGGATCCAGAAGAGAAACATCAGTCAGTTCCCGCAAAGAAAGGTCGAACTGGCGAAGTTTGGAGCAGTGGAGGGTTTTCATCTGAACGAAAACGGCTTTCATGGGTTAAGTGGAACAATATTGCAAAGCCTGTGAAACTGCTGAAGAAAAAACATAACCCCGTTTTTTTTATTGAAACAGGGAGAAAAAAAAATAGAACTTACAGACTGGACACCAGCAGCCAAAAAAACAGGGGATAAGCTCATGGCAACGTCGTGTTTCTAGAAGGAGCTTTATGGATGCAGACCACCAGGTCTGGGAAGGTGTGCAGTGGCTGCTTGGTCGTGACACTTTCATGACCTTCAGGATTGCAGGCCATGAGTTTGAGTCTCACACTGGACATCCAGCCTGCTTGACTAGGACCTACTCCATCGCATAGGGGCTATTTCAGGCTGCCATACCCTGGCTATGAAACTGACATGCCTGAACGTTGATCAGCTGCATTTGTGAAAAAAGGCTAAGTCAAGTCAGGCCACTGCCAGATGGAGCACAGTTAGAGCAGCTTGCGGAGCCGGCTTTGGGATACCACATGCTCCCCCAGTACCTAAACCTCAGGGAATGAGTAGCTACCACCAGACTGACCTTGGTGCAAATCCGAGCACTAGAAAAGCCTGATTTGAAAGGAGCAGACACAGTGTAATCTGGCAGAAGTCCTATCGACTCCCACAGGGCCAGTGCGCCCGCTAATCTTTTCCGTCCATGCGCAGACTTTTCCTGTGCATTAGTAATAATGCAGCTGCAGCAGAGAATAAGAACCCAGCGTGAGTCTCAGCGCCCAGGTGAGGTTTCAAAGATGGCAGTGAGGTTTAAAAAAAAGAGACACTTAGGCCTGCAAAAGGATCCGATTCAATCAGCCAGACTAAAGCACGCAGCTGCAAAATAACTATCCTGGATAGACTCACCTGGTATGGAAAAGGAAAAGTGAGGTTGAAGAGTGAGAAAAATCTCGCACGGTGAAATGCAGCAGGCTGGGAAAGGAAAGTCCCATTCCAGGCACCGTTTACTTTTTGATCAAACCAAGCACTTTGGACCGATCTACAATCGTCCCCCATGGGCCGGAGAAGATCCGAACTGACGGTCTCTGATCGTGATAGCCCTCGTGCAAGAGGTCTCTTACCACTTTGATACAGGGTTGAGCTCTGTTGTCGGCAAAAACTCTCAAAGCTCTGAATTCGGAGACACTCTCGCTGGGCTGCCCGAAATCAGCGTGAAGATACATTAAACGTTAGCGATAAAACGTATGGCTAAGATGATTAGCTTGAAGCAGCTGGCTTGCCTCAGCCAGGGTTCAAAATGGGTGCCTTTTAGTAATGAATAAGCAAACACAGCATAAGCTTCGTATAGTTTCCCACAAGCCATGGGCTCAGACCTACCTCTCTTACTCACGCGAGTCATCCTTACGACGGTATCTCTGTTGAAACAAGACTACTTGGGTGAGTAAAGGCTGCCAGATAAAACCCTATATCCTAACAGGATTTCCGTAATCCAGGGCAGCAGATGGTACGTGGTATAAATTACAGAACGACTGTGCCGAATCACTGTGTGATCGATTACGTTAAAGGGCTCGGTCATGACAGAGAAATTCAGGCAGGAACAGAGAGACGTTCCCAGTGGAAATCAGATGCGGAGGAGAGAGTTGGAAGGTGCAAAATGGCGAAGGAAAACGCTCTCGAACCCAGAGCAGCCAGATCGCGTAAAGTCAGGGCTCCATGAAGGGAGACGGAAATAGACGAGACACACACGCTAAGGACAGTCTCTGGAGGTTGTTCGTACTAAGGGATGGAAACCCTGAATGAGACTGTTCTCAGAGCCATTTCCTGGGGTACAAAAGGGCCTTCTCCCTGATGAATCTCACCCTCTGCATCTCAGAGAGGTAGGAAACCATTCTCCTCGGTTTCCTGATCAGCGGCAAACCACCGTGGGCAGCTCTGGAGATTTTCACAATATTTGGTCTCTCGCTTAAAGCCCCGGCTGCAAGAGTCAAGAGATGGTGGGAGCATCTCAGATTTCGTTCGTACAAAGAAATGCTCTAACTTTTGCGGGTGCCGAGACAAACTGGCAACGCGTGACCCCGGAATTCCTTCGGGGGGCTCTCTCAGACACCAGACGGCCAAAGAAATCCCAAAGATTATTTTATTCACAGCTTGCGAGGTTTTTCAGACAGGCCCCTCGTTTTTTTGGAGTCGTGACGGGGGACTTCTGAAGGCCCGGGGCTGGCACGGCTGCGGATGGGGGAGTGCAGGTACAGGACAGACTACACCACTTACATCAGAGGGGCAGCCACGTTAGCGTGTCCCCCCAAAAACGAGAAGCCTTGTGACACCTTAGAGACCAGCTGATTTACTTGGGCATCAGCTTTCGTGGGCAAAACCCCGCGATCCGTGGCGGGCTGCATATGCAGCTCTGTGTGTCACATGGGCCGGAGTCACACAATATACACGCTCCCCACGTGGCCCTGCGGCAGTCACGTGGCCCACAGCTGTGCGCCGACCAGGCCACAAGCAGCCCACGGGCTGAGACCACTGCAGTAACCTTTCGTCCCCTCCTAGGGCAAACACACACAAGATGGGCAGCAGCCTCCCGTTCTGGAGCGGGAAGGGCTGGGCTGGGAACGGCCAGTCTCCAAGATCAATGGACACAGGCTGGCCCAGTGGAGCTGGGACTATTTTTGGGGTGCGGATGCTGAGCTGCACCCCCTCGTTGAGATCGGGTTGCCCACTCTCCGGGGTCTCCGTAACTGCAAATGGCAGCTGGTCTGTCCAGTCCAGGAGAGTTGGCATCTGTCACTGCTCCAGGCTGGGGCCACAGTGGGCGGGAGGGAGCAGCTGCAGAGCCCTGGGCCGACAGGGGGACCCCAGAACTGGTGGGGTTATGGAGCCTGGCAGGGCCAGCGGGACCCCGAGGACCGGCTGCAGGACCCTAGGAGGTTGACAAAGCCAGTGGGGCTAGCGGGCAGCAGGATCCCGGGGCCCGGCACGGCTCTAGGGCTAGATGAGCCATCCCCCAGGTGCGAGAAAGCCGGGTGCAAAACGTGGGATGCTCCAGCACCCCCTCCCTCTGCCTCCCTACTTCCCACGCCTACGGGCTGGCTTGCAACCTGTATCAAGCAGAGCTGACGTGACTGTCAGGAGGCACTACAGCCAGAGAGCTACGCACGTTTAGCAACTCCACCATCCACAGGACCTCGGAAACTGCACCCCTCCCCCCCCCCACACACACACACCTGACAGCTGGAGAACCCTGTAGTGGTAAATACAAAGCCCAACAGTTGCACATTTTCTCCCCCTGCCAAAACGCACCTTCCAGGGAGACTGAAGCCCAGGGAAAGCGGAAGGGAGGGGCCGGGGCTGTAGCTCTGCTAGGAGGAGCCGGGGGGGGAGGGTGCGGATGAAGCACTCCTGCCCCAGACAACTAAGCTGATTAGCCGCTTTCGGACACTTGGAGAGGTCACCAGGCAAGGGGGTCCCATTGATAAAAGCTCCTGGGCTCATTCTGCACAGAGGCTGCTTTCATCCGGCTAGAAAGCAGCAGCCCAGAACAGGCACGTCTCTCAGTCGGGTTCCCCCCACTGTTCCACCAGAAAGACTCACGCACTAAAAGCTCCAGAGGTCCCAGGTTCGAATCTGCCTGTGGGCATTACACAGGTACCTCCCCTGCTCCTCTGAGACCCATTCCTGGGCACTAGGACAGATGGGATCCACCCCCACCCCCAGGTTTGCCACCTGGGCCTCACCACTTCTCTGGTAAATGACCCATATAAACTATTCAACTGGATGTGCCCGGCCTGTTTTATAGAACATCACACTATAATCCATGGCCTCTCAGTGTGGCAATTCCCCCATTAGCACTGCCCGGGGAGCGGGGGCTAGGGGTTCCAAGCTGCTGTTAAGCTAGCAATGAGAGCTGGAATTTTCAGCTCCAGTATTAGGATCCAGAGGGACCAGGTTCGATCCCCGTTGCTGACAACCCATCCCGGAACAGCAGTGTGAAACAACTGTTAATTGGATTCTATTACAGGATGAACCTCTCTAGTCCAGCACCCTCGAGATTTGATCAGTTCCAAACCAAAGAATTTGCCAAACCATGGGAGGTCAGTATTATCTAGAAGCATTGCCAATATTAAAGACATTGCGGAGTAAAATTAGAGCTAAACAGCCCAGAGCCAGGACTGGGGGCTGTAAACAAACTTTACGAGACAGCAGGCAACGTGGCCACAGCCATGCTAAGCGGCCACCCAGCTAACTCAAATCATGCCAGACCACGGAGGTTGCTGGATTACGGAGGTTCAAGCTGTACAACCACCATTGCGGGTAACTTCTGCTCATGAGACGACAATGATTTAACTGTACGGAGAGCTGGAAGAAGCGACATTATTCCACTGAGATTGTGGAGGCCAAAAATAGCCGCCGTGAGGGCCAGTTCTACTAAATGACGGCATTCCAGCTAATTCGCAGATCTGCGGGTCAGCGTTGAGGAACATTCATTCTGGACTCCTGGAGTAAGGGCTGTAAAGCCTTGCTCTGATTGGAGTAAGCAGCGACCGCTGTGGGATCGTGCCCATTCTTAGCCCAGGAGATGGGGAAAGGGGCTGCTTCTACGAGTCCACCATTGCCACCAAGCCAGGGCAGACATGGTCCCTCCCGTTCTCTGCACTTACCTGTCGTGTGTCTTGCATGCTCCGCCGCCTGCCCTGGTACCTCAACAGTTCTGTCTATCTGAAACAGCTTCAAGTCCTCTTCCTCTAAGGCGATGTCTCCCCAGAAGGCAGCTGGAGACAGAGACAACACAAATCAAGTCCGTCCAGCCTGGCATGGGAAGCAAGTGTCAGTCTCGAAAGGCCTCGACGGGGCTCACATTGCAGCCCCGCCGACTGGAATACGCTGGGCACGGGGAAAAGGTCGTACAGGACTAGCTCCAACGTCAGGCTCAGAGGCCAGATACAAGGGTTAAATTAAGCCCCTTTTGCTGAATAACCAGAACGGAGCGGAAGGGACTGACTTACTAGGATTCCTCACGCCGCCCCTTTGTTTTATTGCTGGCTCCACACCAGGAGCTTAAGGGGTACAATTCGCCCTTCCACCGCCCTCATTGACCACTGGGGCAATTCATCCGCATTTCCCCCAGCTAGAAAGGGAAAACGTCTACCAGTTTGCAGCTCCCGTGTGGATGTGAGCTGGGGGTTAATTTGCACCAGATACCGTAAAGTGATGCCACAGGGGAAGTTTCGTAATTGGGTCTGGCTTGCAATTTCCAGAGAGCTTTAATTTTGTAAAAAGCCTGGGGTTTAAGACAGGTGCCCTGAAAATAACAAAACAGGATACATGTCGCTGCGTCGGTGGCACAGAGAAGAAAAGCCTCAAATCCTTTTCCTGAGGAAAGGGACAGATTAGGATCAAGAGGACTCTGGGGTGTACAGTTACCGGTTTTGGAACGTGAACGAAAGAAGCACAGATAATGAGAAGAAGTGGATCAGACACAAATGGCTTTTTTAGAAGAGAACATGGGTTTTGCAGAAGATTGGTGAGTAGTTGCATGGAAAGTTTGTTCATGTTCACAATAAAACAAAAAGGTCAAAGACGAAAAGAAAGAGGCAAATTCACCTCCCCCCCCCCGGTCATTCCACTGAAGACACAGGATCATAGAACACTAGGACTGGAAGGGACCTTGAGAGGTCATCAAGTCCAGTCCCCTGTCCTCATGGCAGGACCCAGTACTGTCTAGACCATGGGTTCCCAAACTGGGGGGCGTGTCCATCTGTCCATCCACTCGGGCTGGCTGGGGCAGACTTCAAAAGGGCTGCCTTAAAAGGGCAATGCCAGCTCTGCTCATAAAAGGCAATTTTTTTTTTTTTTTATCAACAAAGTTTTGCTGAAATTTTTTTTTGGGGGGGGGTGAGGGTTTCTCAAAAATCAAAAAGGGGGCATGATGCTGAAAAATTTGAGAACTACTGCGCTAGACCATCCCTGACAGACATTTATCTAACCTGCTTTTAAATATCTCCAGAGATAGAGATTCCACAACCTCCCTAGGCAACTTATTCCAGTGGTTAGGGGCGGATGAAATTTCGCGGGGCCCCTCCTTTGACACAGCGCATGCGCTGTGGCACCATGGTGCATGCGCGGGGCCTCGAGAAGCGCGGGGCCCGGGGCAGTCGCCCCGCCCTAAATCCGCCGCTGCCAGTGGTTAACCACCCTGTCAGGTAGGAAGTTTTTCCTCGTGTCCAACCTAAATCTCCCTTACTGCAGTTTGAGTCCATTGCTTCTTGTTCTATCCTCAGACGCCAGGAAGAACAATTTTTCCTCCCTCCTTCTTGCAATAGCCTTTTAGATACCTGAAAACAGCTATCATGTCCCCCCTCAATCTTCTCTTTTCCAAACTAAACAAGCCCAATTCTTTCAGTCTGTCCTCCTAGCTCATGTTCTCTAGAGTTTCCATCATTCTTGTTGCTCTTCTCTGGACCTTCTCCAATTTCTCCACATCTTTCTTGAAATGTGGTACACAATCAAGGAGTTATACACGGGGTGAGCTTGACTTATTGTCCCTAGAAATGTTTGATTCTCTCCAATATCACTGTCAGTTCAATGCAAGTGTTTGTGTAACCAGTGGTGAAAGTAACTTATTTCTTACAGGTACAGTCCTATTGCAACCCAGGCCCCTGCCAGCGCTCCCCATAGCTCCCTGTTGACTCTTGCTGGAGCTGTGCGCCATGGCGCATCTGCTTACTCTGTGGGTAACCCACACACCTCCTGAGCGTGGCCCTCTGTCCCGTCTACTAGCACCAAAACTGCTTCGAGAGAAATCGGTGAGTCTGCTGTACGGCGTTTTAGCTCCTGTGGTCGAGCCTCATACACGAAGTTCCAGAAATCCAGGGGCCTGTCAGTGTTACATTTGCATTACAGAAAACGGTCCCTGGCAGGACAGGAAACACAATCCAAGCGTGCTAGCCCCCAGGAGACACCACGCTTAACTGACCACTCCAGCCACGCTGCCAAGATCACACGAAAGGCAAAAAGGATCCAAAGAGCAGAGTGAGTGAAACGATCGACAGGGAGGAAAATGTTTTTTTAAATGTAAGATATTAACTCGAATACGGGATTTTTCCCCAAATGCAAGTCTTATATAGAAAATCTCCCTCGAAAATGCAAGTCAAAATCTCATCCCAGAAGTTCGTCCAGCCCCTGGGAAGGAATTTCTTGGGGCGTCGATGTCGTCCATCATTCTGAAGAGCTGCCTGCCTGCAAGAACAGCTTCAATGTTCGTTTCCAGCCGCCTGCAGTTCTAGAAGGTAAAGGGGAGGAGAAGGTAAAGATCCGCCCCCACTCGGTCCATCAGCGCCTGGCCGGTGCTGAATCGCTTTCCTGGCGGGGGGTTCCAACTTCTGCAGCTTCTCCATGTTTGCGGGTCTTTCCTCCCCCAACTCCGGAAAGCGGCTCAGCTCCCGTACGTCCCCCAGCAGCCATCCCGCCACCACAGAGCTCTTCAATTTGATCTGGCATTTGCAGGGATCTGTCCTACAGGCCAGGCCTGTTTGGTTTTCCCCCTCCAAGAGGTTTCACCAAGTTCCAAACCCCTCAGCAGGAGCACGAAGCACCTCGAAAGCAGCCTGCAAAAAAGGCCTGCTTGAAATGTAACAGGAAGAGCTGCCAAGAAACTCCGAGCGCAAGAGAGGAGAAAAGCGAGAGTGAGTTTGAGCGATGCGGGTTTAGAAGCTGATAAAGGGCACGACGGGTCGGTTAGGGTGTTTGCTCCCTGACCACATCCCAGACTTCTGCAAACTGCAAGAAGGAAGTCGCCATAAGCTCTGTAGCGTAGCTGCCCTGTGCTGACTGGAGAGAGGTTTCCTGGCAGCTTAGTTACTCCAGCCCCCCACCCGCGGTGGCAGCTATGCGGGTAGGAGGGAGAAGGTCTCCTGCCGACAGAGCATTGTGCGCAGTAATGCTTAAGTTGCCATGAGTTATATCCCTTAGGGGAGTAGCTAATTCACAACCCTGAGTGACAGAACTTATATCCCTTTGTGCTGTTGGGTAGCCATCATCTTTAAAACAATTCCAGAATAGTTGTGAAAACACTTCTATCTTTTGTGCAAAAAACCTCCCAAAACTCTAACTACGAAGCTGCATTTATTTAGAAGTGTCTGTACATGACCTATGTTCCTTCCCTGCCCCCAATTGTGTCAGTGGGTTTTTCCTCCAATAATATTTTTTAAACATTTCAAAACCTGTTTTTAGGTAAATACACACTTCCATTAATGGTTCAGAAAAATGATTTTTTTTTGAGAGCACGCAAGAGAGAGACTTCTTCACAAAAGAAAAAAATAGTTGTTCAACATTTGTTGTGGAAAATTCAGACAAATTCCATCCTGCGCTATGTGCAAAGCAAACTCCCTCAGAGGAGTTGCAGAAGAAAAGACCAACAGGAAAAACAGAGGAAGGGCCAGAGGGGTATATTCTGTTCACCACCAGGTGCTGGTTACTGTTTGCAGTGGAATCACAAGCTAGAAACACTTCTTCTTGTGCTGATGCAGTTTGGGATTGAAACTGGTTAAAAGGATACATGTTGGTTGGTGTAAAGTATACGATGTTAAACATCTGTCACACTGTGGCTTTGCTGCTTGTGCGTGAAACAGCTCTGCTTTTCCCGGACTAGGAAGACTTATTTTCAGCTTCTGTCAATGCAACATCTCTGCAGCCAGCACCAGGAGTGATACCATGGTGGAGTGCGGCGCACAATGAAAGTCTGAATAAATGTGTTGAACATTTTCAAACAGAGACCGCTACCGAAAAGGAAACTGCTTGAAAAGCTGAACACTCAGGTCTCCTGGCTTAAACAGGAGAACTGACCGCAGGCTGAATGTTTGCTTGTTTAACAAAAGCTAGAACATTGTTGCAACACATGTTGTAACATGCACCTGGAGGCTGTGCTTGGCAAAAGTGAGTTTGAACAATGTGGGTTTAGAAGCTTTTTATAGTCACACGGACAACAGGCGGAATGCATGCTTTGGGAACAACCCCATAAACTCAGACAGCTTCAAAGTAACCAATTAATGAAGATCAAAGTCTGTTGCCACAGGATTTGAAAATCCAAAGGAAAGCACTAAATCCACCAAGTGGATCAGTCCCTACAGCACACCTATTTCACCCAGCTCTCTCCTTGCTAATGTACTACAGTAGCCTATACAAGTCCATTTATTATTTGTATTACAGAAGCCCCAGAACCCCAGCTAAGCTCAGGGCTCTGCTGCACTACCATTGTCCCAACAGATAGGAGACTGCCCTCTGCCACTGAACTGTTGGGTGGCCTTGGTTGATTTCCTTATCTGGAACACGGACATACCACTCCGAAAGTGCTCCGAGAGCTACTGATGAAAGTACCCTAAGAACTACCTGCTTACTACTGATCTACACCGCACTGCCGTTTCTCTGGCAGAAACAGGTCGTTCTCCTTCCTCTTCCTGAAACGTTCCTACGAAGAGGTCTCTGAGCAGGTGTGTGAATCACTGGAGTCCGGGGGGAGGGACTGCTTTCCAGAGTGAACCTCAGGTGGACTCTGCACTTTCTATCCCCTTCCAGACTCGCTCCCTACGCCTGGGAGTGGAGGATGTAGCTGGCCGGACAAGAGTCTCCCCATTACACAAGAATCCTCCTTCCTGTTTGTGTCTGTAAAGACTAAGAGGCAACTAGCAGCAGGCAAGTTCAGAATATTAAAAGGCCGAGATCTTCTTTCTGCTAACCTAACCATGGCCGACATTGTAATCCATGCCTCTGAATAGCACCGCGCTCTGCTAAGACAACACCGCCTTCAGGCAGGGGAGAGCCTGCATTGTTCCTTGCAGCGGCCCATTATGTACCCCCAGGTGCCCGGTCGCGGCACTGGACAGACCTCGGCATAAGAGGCTGGCTCATTCATGCATCGTCACCTTTCATGGGAATGCTTGATCGAGTGCCAATTGGAACGAATGCTCATTCCGAGCCCGATCCTGCGGCGTGCGGATACGTAGTTTCCCGATAGGGGGCATTGTAGTGGGAATTAGTTCCACATGAGGAAGGGCCTGAGGAGAGAGCCTAGTAGATGTGCAGAGGGAATAAAGCCTGCACAGAGCAATCTCTTTGCTCCCTCGTTCTATGCTTGAGCACTGACCAGCTGTGCCGGGCACCCAGCGGGCGCTGGAAACTCTCCAGGTCTGGTTTCCTGCTCCCCCGTTCTATGCTTGAGCACTGACCAGCTATGTCTGGCACCCAGCGAGCGCTGGAAACTCTCCAGGTCTGGTTTCTTGGGTTCCCAAGTTCTTTAGTATCCTCCTTTTTCACCCGGTTCCTTTGCTGCTTTCTTTTTGGGCTTTCTTCTCCCTGCCTTGCTTTAGAGGGAAAAGCGCTTTCTGGTGGGTTGATTTAAACCAGGGGGCTCTCTCAACCCCCTTCTCCAAAATCACACTCCTCCCATTCCTGAGCTGGTGGCATTTGCGCAGATCCTCAGTAGAAAGATCCGCTGGGGGTGTGGGTTCAGAGAGAGCATTAGTACCAGCAAGAGCCTGAAAATTGTCCTCTGCCTGTGTAACGGGGAAGCCAGTTGCAGTGCACCACAATAACCTGAGCGCTCCTGCATGCGTGGGAGCGATGTGCTAGGCTATGGCAGTCGATCATGGACACACAGCGCCACGCCCAGGGCCTCGTCTGGAAACCCTTGACACAAACACAGGGGAAGTATGAACCAGGGCATGGAATCTTTGCATTGTTCTGCTCTGCAGCCACAGGTCTAGGAGAGTGAGTTGAGTTCACTGTGTGTGTATGTGTGTGTGTCTATACAATTTGCCAGGTGTGTGACTTTGGGGGGTTGTGTTGCGGGTGCACACGACTGATTTTTTTAATAGACAGGTTCCCAGTAGAAATGCGTGGGCGTGGGGAAAACTAGTTCTGAAAAATGCACTGCAATTAAAACCCATTCTCTCTGTCTTCTTGGAGGAGGAGAACAACCTGACAGCACAAACTTTGGGGCTGGTCCTCAAACAATCAGGTACAGATTGAACCTCTCTGGCCCGGCAAACTCCGTGGTCCGGCATGATTTGAGTGAGCCGGGTGTCCACTTAGCATGAGTGTGGCCAAGTTTCCCCAGTCCCATAAAGTTTGTTTACAGTCACCAGTCCTGGCTCTCAGTGTGCTGGGCTGTGATTTAGCGCTAATTTACCCCTCCATGTCTGCTAAGAGTCCAGCAAGCAGTGGAAATGTTGGTGATGCTGGCAGTATTTTAAAGAAGCCTTATTAATGGCACAGGAAGAAACCATCCCAATGCGCAGCAAGGAAAGCAAATATGGTAGGTGACCCGATTGGCTTACTGGGGACATCCATGGTGAGCTTACAGCCAAAAAGGAAGCTGACAAGAAGTGGAAACTTGGACAGATGACTAGGGAGGACTATAAATCTATTGCTCGAGAATGCAGGGCAGTTATCAGGAAGGCGAAAGCGCAATTGGAATTGCAGCTGGCAAGGGATGTGAAGGGTAACAAGAAAGGTTTCTACAGGCCTGTTAGCAATAAGAGGGTGATCAGAGAGGGTGTGGGGCCCTTACTGGATGATGTGGGAAAAGCTGCAGTACTCAAGGCTTTCTTTGCCTCTGTCTTCACGGACAAGGTCAGCTCCCAGACAAATGCACTAGGCAAGGCAGTAGGGGAAGGACATGGACAGCCCTTGGTGGGGAAAGAACAGGTTAGGAACTATTTAGAAAAGCTAAACGTACACAAATCCATGGGTCCGGATTTAATGCATCTGAGGGTACTGTGGGAGTTGGCAAATGTCATTGCAGAGCCTTTGGCCATTATCTTTGAAAACTCATGGAGATTGGGAGAGATCCCAGGTGACAGGAAAAAGGCAAATGTAGTGCCCATCTTTAAAAAAGGGAAGGACGATCCAGAGAACTACAGACCAGTCAGCCTTACCTCAGTCCCGGAAAAATCATGGAGGGGATCCTCAAAGAATCTATTTTGAAGCACTTGGAAGAGGGGACAGTGATCAGGAATAGTCAACATGGATTCACAAAGGGCAAGTCATGCCTGACCAATCTGATTAGCTTCTATGATGAGGTAACTGGCTCTGTGGACATGGGAAAGTCAGTGGATGTGATAGACCTTGACTTTAGCAAGGCTTTTGATACGGTCTCCCAGGATATTCTTGCCAGCAAGTTAAGGATGTATGGATTGGATAAAAGGACTGTAAGATGGATAGAAAGCTGGCTAGACTGTCGGGCCCAGCGGGTAGTGATCAACGGCACGATGTCAGGATGGCGGTCGGTTTCTAGCGGAGTGCCCCAAGGATCGGTTCTAGGGCCGGTTTTGTTCAACATCTTTATTAAAGACCTGGCTGAGGGGATGGATTGCACCCTCGGCAAGTTTGCAAATGACACTAAGCTAGGGAGAGAGGTAGATATGCTGGAGGCAGGGACAGGGTCCAGGGTGACCTGGACAGATTAGAGGATTGTGCCAAAAGAAATCTGATGAGGTTCAACAAGGACAAGTGTAGAGTCCTGCAGTTGGGACGGAAGAATCCCAAGCATTGTTACAGGCTGGGGACCAACTGGCTAAGTCACAGTTCTGCAGAAAAGGACCTGGGGATTACAGTGGATGAGAAGCTGGATAGGAGTCAACAGGGAGCCCTTGTAGCCAAGAAGGCTAATGGCGTATTAGGTTGCATTAAGAGGAGCATTGCCAGCAGATCCAGAGAAGTGATTATTCCCCTTTATTAGGCTCTGGTGAGGCCACATCTGGAGTGTTGTGTCCAGTTCTAGGCCCCGCACCGTAGAAAGGATGTGGACGCATTGGAGAGGGTCCAGCGGAGGGCGATCAAAATGATTAGGGGGCTGGAGCACATGGCCTAGGAGGAGAAGCTGAGGGATTTGGCTTTGTTCAGTCTGCAGAAGAGAAGAGTGAAGGGGGATTTGAGAGCAGCCTTCAACTTCCTGAAGGGAGGTTCCAAAGAGGCTGGAGAGAGGCTGTTCCAGTAGTGACCTACGGCAGAACAAGGAGCAATGGGCTCAAGTTACAGTGGGGAAGGTCTAACTCTAGAACTCTCTTGCCACGGAGCTCCCGGTTATCGGAGAGGGCTCAAAGAGCCATGAGAAAGCCTTCTAGTGAGAGAGTCAAACTATTTAGCTCAACAAGGAGAAAGTTAAGGGGTGACTTGATTATAGCCCATAAGTATCGACATGGGGAACCCATTTTTCATAATGGACTCTTCCATCTAGCCGAGAAAGGTCTAAAACATGGTCTACAGGTTGGAAGTTGATGCTAGATAAATCCAGAGTGGAAATAAGGTGTAAACGTAGAACCCTGAAGGTAACTAACCATCGGTACAACTTACCAAGCGTTGCGGGAAAATCGCCACCACGAGAATTTTAGACTCAAGACTGGATGTTCTACAACGCCTGCTCTAAGAATTATTTTGACCATAAGAAAAGCTCTCGTGCGTGGCGGGAGAGTTTTATTCACAGGACGCAAACGAGAGCCGCAAGCAGGTGATGGCTCATTCGAGCTGCTTCCGCACTTCCCCCTCGAGGGGCCAGGAAGGAGGAGATGGGGTTTTGCCCATTACACATAGAACATGAGAAGCCATTCATTTTCCATAGAAACCATGTCACCATAGAAGCGAGACCAATCCAATCAGTCATGCTAATGCGCTGGAGTTCAGTTCTCAGGCCTGGGAGCGGCGTTTTGCCTGCCCAAACTGCAACAATGAAGAGATCTCAGGAGATTACCAGCTATGGCAGCCGGAGTGTATCATAAGGTGGGGGGCACAATAGGGACCCAGACCCACACAGCGATGTTTCTAGGTCGGGTGTGAAAACCAGAGCCAACACGCACACGTGGACTCCACAGCCAACCTCCCCTGCATCTGGGTGCAGGCAAGAGTTAAGGCCTCAGCCAACGCTGGCGTTTTTGGGTCATGAGTAGCACAGCCTAGTATTAGCCACCTGTTTCGAGAGACGGGCAGGAAACACTACACCTGGGGGCCTGCCAGAGCCAGCACCGGCTCGGTCTCCGAGGCAAATAGAGTTATCAAAGCCTCCATGTCTGTGTACGTGGAAGTGTGTGATAGTAAATGTGTCATTAGATGGCACTCAGGCACGTGTGGTGTAGGCCCAAAGCGGTGTGCATGCACTGCCAATGGCTTCCTTCGGACAGCCCCTTCCCTCAGCTCTTCATACTCCTCTGCCCGCCCCTTCGCCCAGTCCCACCAGCGTTAGCCCTGCAGCTTTCACAGTCACTTCTGCCGCCAGGAACCTCCCCCTCACTGTCCTACATCCTCTGAGAGCAGGGCCATCCCTGGGGGTGTGCAGGGCCCGGGACAACCCCCCTCCCCCAGCTCCAGGCACCGCCCCTTCCGGCCTCTGCTCCGCCCCATCTCCTCTCCGCAAGCCCCGCCCCTGCTACATTCCTGTCCCACCTCTTCCCGCATCATTGCCCTAAGATCCCTCCCCCCTACCGCAGACACGCGAGGGGAGGGATTAAGGTTGCACAGGCTACACTAGTCTGGAAAGAAATACTTGATTGAGATGGGCTCAAGCAGAAGACAGGCGGGCTAAGAGAGCCATTGTGTCCCCCCTCCTGCTGGCTTTTCCTTGCCAAGCGCCTCTCCTTGAGCAGGTTCTGTGGGGGGTGAACAGCTGGAGGTGCCACCAGCACGGCTCACACAAACAACCCGCAAAGAGCACACAACTCTCTCTGCCAGGAAAGGTGTGGCGGAACCACCGGGGGTTACCAT